TTTCACTAAAGCCGATACCTAGACGGCTATACCTAAGGCTTCCTTTGGGTAAACTGAGTTCCGTTGCATTTAGCATTTTAATTTTAAATATTATCAAAAACATCGGTCTATTCATTTTTATATTTCAACGATGATTACCGTACCCTACCGATATATGTTTGTTGTTTCAGTTTAAAAATGATAATAAATTCCAGAGGATATACTGAATTTAATGAAAAAAGAGTTATTAGCTTGCCATAAGGTCATTAACTAATTTTTTATAAATGTAAAACATTCCCCACTCATTTATCTATCAACATAGTGAAATAGTGTGCATGAACGGCTGGACTCTGTAATTAGTGAGTTGACCATAGAGGCTCGTTTGCTTTTCCCTTCCTTAAAATAACTCCAATCCCTACCTATCCTCCTTAAACATTATCACTTACCTTGTATGCATTATGAGTTTGGCAGCGATCAGTGAAGTTAGCTTCACTGTATTATGCTGTATGATGATGATGATGTTCTTGTTGTTGTTGATGATGATGATGATGATGTCCATATACATACGCAACCATTTATATAACCTAAGCCAACTCAGGGAATCACTGTATGCACCCGGACGGGTGGATATTCAGCAACAAAAAATCTCATTTCGCTTCCTCTGTCATGACAATGAAGGAGTGTGAAGGAGTCAAACATTTTCGTTCAAATTACTCACAAATCCCATCACGAGTGTTCCGTAAACTCCTTCGGATCCGAGAGCTTGGAGTGGATGATATCCATGTCGTTGCATGTAGATCTCCTCGACAGTCATTTGAGCAGCAGAGGTTAGCGCTCCCAGCAGAACCAGCATTATCCCTTTAACAATAAGAGCATATGAGAATAGGATTCCGATCAACCTGCAACTAAACTCTTGTTAATGAACTGTTCAACTCTAAAAGTAAATTCCTTAGGTTGACGTTTGACATGATCTGCTCTATACACCAATCAAACTAATTATTCCTCACATGGGGAAATATGTGTGCATGTGATTGAGTAGCTAGCTCAAGTACCAGATTTATAAGGTCTCTATTTGATCCAGTTTTAACAAAAGGCTAGTGTCGTGCAAGTATATAATCGGATTTTGGTAATAGCACGATATCATGAGATATACCTCCTAGGTGACAAAATTGTCTATTGACATTGACTGAACTGAGCCTCCTTATGCCCTGATTCTTTCAACAGACCTCGTAGAATGGCTAAAATTATTATCCGACTGTCTTACAGCTTGATCCGGAGAACTGATAAACAAAATGGACTTGAAGTGACATGAAATCGGACAAGATAGATGGTTAGTACCAATGATATTGCTACGATTGATCTCGTTCACTTATGGGAAATGATATCGGGGCAATTCTCACGAAAAAACTACCGTACAGTAAGCGAGGGGCACAGAGAACTTTTAACGGGTTACTGATTCTACGCCTAACATCACCGAGAGAGATGCTCTGTAATCCAGATATTCTTATTAACAGGTGCACACAGTGGTAGCGACCTCAGAAGTAGAGAGGGACTTTTATATAAGTTAACAAATGGGCAAACATATACATAGACTATCGTCAAAAGACAAGGTGTCAGACAACTCTAGAATAAAAAAGGAATTAAAAATAAGTTTTGAGGAAGGAATGCAAAAGGAAAATATGTGGAGAAAGTTGTAATGTCTTCTAGTTGTAAGTCAGTATCAGCAACCAGTAATCATCATTATTTTCGGTCCCAACCCGGAAATCAGGAGCTACCACCACGAGATAAGTCGATGGTGAGTATTTACATGACGTCCCATCACTTTGTGGGTTTTCCGTCTACAACCCTTATGCAGCGGGAATCAGGAGCCACGAATAGGAAGGATATCGCTAGGAAAGCGATGATTGATGGGTTATAGAATATAACCCATCCATATGAGTATGCCGATAGATGTGGTACCACCGACTGGACGACAATTTGACTCGTCACAAATCAGCTTTTGAACTGTTTGAAACTTTAGGAATTTGATTTTTTCACCGAGCCCTGGAGATATTTCGAAGGTAAATATATTAAAGACGGGCAGCCCTAAAACGCTAAAACAGTGAAGTGACCAGGATTGATTGCTGTAAAGTAGCACTGCAAAGACTGTGGTGCGGTAAACGCTGCCTATGAAAGTTAGTGGGATAGTGAAGGGCAGTCGAGCTCTCGCTATCCACAGCATGATCTCACTTTCAATATTAAGACCAGCTGTGATACAACTCCCAAGGTAGACAAATTCTTTCAGGTGGTTCCCATCGGTGTTTTACGCTTGCTGAATTTTAGATGATGAAGCGCGTTTTTAGAATGCTAGAAGTTAATGAAAGAAAAGAAGAGATCGTGATCCGCAAAGGTTTATAGAGGACGTTTTCCGTCGAGGACATCAATGTGTAGGCAGACAGTAGCTGGAAGAATATCGTGGGTTATCAAACCCATCTGAGGTTATGAACTGTAGACCAAGGAACTCACACATCATATTAAGCTTCCTGATTAAGGATATTTTGGACAGTGGTCATCAAGCGGTAAAGGTCACCAGATATCGCCCCAAAGGACGTGTTCGAATCCTACCATCATCAACCGACTTTTCCCATTCTCTGTATGTCGTATGGGAGCCCTTTGATTGGCCGTTTCCTCCTTCCTGAAATTTTTATCATAATATATTCAATTAAAGGAAATAAAATGAAAAGATAAAAAACGGCAATCAATCTCCCACTTTGTCATGACGCGTCACAGATGAAGTGTCGGCGCGCATACAGAAAGCTTGGTTGGTATTTGCCAACTTGAGACATCTGTGGCGCCGTCGCGACATCCGGTTGTCTGTGAAGGGTCGAGTATATGCTGCAGCAGTTCGGCTAGTTCTGCTTTACCGCGCAGAGACTTGGCCATTACGGGAACAGGATAAAAAAAGACTGTCGGTGTTCGAACACCGTTGTCTACTTAGCATTGCACGAGTCTGGTGGGGAAACCAGAAGAGTAATGCTGAGGTTAGGTGTAGAGTTTTAGGTAATCGAGGTCGTCCACTGGAACAGATAGTTGGCCTCAATAGATTACGCTGGTTGGGACATGTGCTACGCATGTCACCAGATAGATTGCCACGGCAAGCGATGCTTGGCGAGGCAGGTAGCGTTTGGAAAAAATAAAGGGCGGTCAAGCTAAGACCTGGCATAAGAGTATGAAAACCCTGACCAGAAGACTGGCTCATGTAGGTCCCGTCAGGCTTCCTGGCTGGGGACCCAGAGATCATGGTCACCGGTGGTTAGAGACACTGAGCGATATGGCTGGGTGTCGCAAACAGTGGCGCTCATGCATCTACTCATTATTCTCGTAACTTCAGTCTATGAAANATTCTGCGATTTTATCCAAATGGGCAACCAAAAGACAGCAACGAAAACCGGCGCACGAAAGTGTATGGTTAATGGTTGTAAGAACTGAACTGAGCTGATGTCACATCCCTTGGGGATTACAAAAAGTG